AATGCGTTAGTTTCTGTTCGATGGGCTTTGCCATCACTGTGTGAATGTGGCACGTAGTGTAAAAGCAAGTCGGAAGACTAGAAAGGCACTATACAAGTACAGGTCCATTTACCATTACCATTACTGGTTTGCGTCTATAGTGAACTAGTTTTAAAAGGCCATTAACAGTGGGCTAGATCAATGTGGTGACCCTGATGAGGCTTTAAAGTGGAAAGACTCTGGACTGGATGCATAGACTCCATAAAATAAAAAGCTACAAAAAAGCATACGTTATCATCTGACATGGTAAAGTTATTATATTGGTATGTTAAAGTGGTATCAGAGGTTCCACGCTATTCTTAGCTCATCTGTGAGGCCTGAGGGCATTCTGCATGTATTTTACACTCGATTGCGTTTCACTGGAGGTCATCCATCTCGTCTCTGAAGCACCCTTAAGGCATAGAATGGGTTGTTCCTAAGCTATATTTTAGACCATTATTACTTTTTAACCCCTCATGAGCCTCCTCTGAGCCTGAGGTTCTCATATGCAGCTCTGCTGGTGGTTCCTAAAAGCAGATTAAAAACAAAGGTGACAGAGCATTTTGCCATCAGAGCCCCAAACTGTGAAAGAGCATTCCAGAGGAGATCAGGACAGCAAATTCTATCACTTCATTTAAGTCTCTTCTTAAAACGTTTGCCTTCCTGTGACCCTTTCTTCTAACCTTATATTCAGCGTGGAACCCTGTCGCATTAAGAGAAATTTGCACCAAAATAACTTTTTTTTTATTTTGCAGCAAACGTCATTGATATAAATGTAATTTTTTAAATGTCGTGCTAAATAACAAATAAGGACAATGCTGAGTTTATAACCTGTTGGTGGAGGGTAATAGACATAACATTACTCAACATTTTAAACTTCATGATTAAAATCTGTTCTATTTATCTATGTCTATAGTCAAAGTTTTGAGCAGATCGAGCCTGTAGATCGCCTCCTGTACATCCTTACCGATCTCCGCCACATCCACGCAGTGCTCCTGGGAAGTGTAGTTTCCATGGGCGGTGATGGCCATCACGTTCATACAGTAGACCTTCCAGATGCTCGTGTGGCTGCTGTCAAAGTGGCAGCTGTTGCCGCCGGCAGTCACGTAGTCTGGACATTCATGTTTGGGGCCCTTACTGTGAACATTAAAGAGAAGTTTGCAATTTTCAAACTTAAAGGGCCAGTTTTTAGGATTTAGTGGCATTGTCACAAACAGGGCCATACGGCCATGACAAAAGGAGAGAGAGGCACACAACAAAGCCAATTAACACATAATTTATTAAGGAAAATAATTAAACTAAACTAACAGTAGTATGTGGGATCAGTAGAATAAGTGAATGAGTGCTGTGTTGTATTAAGATGCAGCAACACAATCACAATCACAAAACCAAATTGATTGTGATTATACACTAATGAAAAC